TTTGAAGCTTCTGTAGAGCTTCAGATGCTTGAGCGCACTTTTCCATAGCAAGCAAGTGAACTGGATCTACAAACACAATTTGATCTGATTCATCCTCAGATGCTTCAGTTTCTTTCAAAATTTCTTCAAACTTGGTCGGAGCATGAGAAGTGGTGAGACACATGAACTTCTTGACTGAGGTATGAACCGCCAGGTTACTTGTGTGCAACGAAGGTTCATCTGCGCCCTCTTCATCTGAATCTTCCCAGGTTGCCTTCAGTGACTTATTCTTCTTCTTAAGATTAGCACATTCATACTGGAAGTGCCCAAAGCCTCGACACTCCCTACATTGATCCTTCTCGACTCGTTGTGAATCGGATTTTGAGAGTGGCATACTACTTTTTTTGTCCTGCACCACATTCTTGCTGAAACTGTTCTCCTTTTTTCCAGCAAATTTGTTCTTGTACAGCCTTTGACTCATCTTCCCATAGTTTCGCGCGATTAAGGTTAGTGCTTCCTTCAGCTCACTATCATCTGCCAACGGACCTTCATCGTCATCGCTTTCTTCTCTTTCCTCGACTACAGCAGCTTTGAGAGCTAAGCCTTTACTTTTAACTTTGTCATAATTGTTGTTGATTTCAAAAGTTCTGAGCTCTCCAAGGAGTTCATCAACATCCAATGACGCCACTCTTTGGAAACTTTCAAGAGCTGTGATTTTCTCTCTAAACCTGGGGACGACGGTTCTCATAATCTTTTCTACTTGACGTTTTTCAGAGATTTCTTCTCCAAGCATCATGCTTTGATTTACCAGATCACATAATCTGGCATAGTATACGTCAATTGTCTCTTCATCCCTCATTTTGATCTCATCAAATTCAAGAGTTACCCGTTGAAGTCTGGACGCTTTGACAGTCGTTGAACCTTCAAATTGACGTTGTAAGACCCTCCAAGCATCTTTTGTAGTTTTGCAATGAACTATCATCTTGTGTCTTGTCTAATCAACTGCCATCATAATCGCATACAAGGCACGATAGTTGGCTTCTTCTTGAAGCT